CAAATGCGCGGCAAATTTAAATAATTCTCATTATTTTACATTTCTGAACACTTTCTCCCACACTGGGTCTTACTGTTCGTTTGTCAGAATGTCTTCTGAGGTGTCCTGCCCATTACATCTTCTGGATTTTATTTCTTTTATTATGTTGGCATCTGGGTGAAGTTCTTCGAGCTCTCTGTTAGTTCTTATCCTATATTGTCCTGATGCTTCATCCAGCATAGGACCAAAGACCTTCGTTAGGATTTTTCTTTCCCAAACACAAAGTCTCTCTTCGTTTGCCTTTGTTAACGTCCATATTTCGCTTCCATACATCACATCGGGTCGTATGATTGTTTTATAGATCTGTATCTTCTTACGTATTGTTAGTTGTTTCGATTTTATAAGGTTTTGGAGGGCAAAAGACATCTGTTGCCGGCCTGAATCATGTTGTTTATTTCTTGAGATCCGTTATTGTCTTCAGTTATCGTTGTTCCAAGACACTTTAATTCTTTAACGCGCTCAAAGTTAAAGTCATCGATGATGATGTTCTGATCGATTCTGTCTCGGCTTTGGTTATTGCAGCTCATATACATATATTTCGTCTTGTTTTCGTTGATTTGGAGCCCCATCTTCTCTGCTTCCTTCTCGAACCCAACGAAAATCTCATTCATCCTTAATCGTGTGTTTCCTATTAGATCGATATCGTCTGCAAATGCCAGTAGTAAGTTTGGTCCTTCTCGATGAAATACTGTATTCGGTTTTTCGATTCTTGCACTTCTGATTATGTGCTCCAGAGCTAAGTTGAAGAGTTGTGGTGAAAGTGCATCTCCCTGTTTTAGTCCATTGTTTATTTCAAATGTCTCCGAGTATTGTCCAACTCTCACCCTAAATCGTAACCGTTCCATATACATACGTATCAACCTGACTAGTTTTTTTGGAAAGCCAAGTTCTGCATCGCTGTCCACAGTCTGTCCCTGCATACTCTATCAAATGCTTGTTTAAAATCTATGAACATCTGATAAAGATCACGATCAAACTCATACATTGATTTTGAAACAGAGGTAGCAATAGTAGAAAATATGAATTCGGTTCCATCATTATTTTAGGGTATCCCATTTTGAGATGTTGGTTCTTAAAGAGCAGGGAAGTCTTTGTCATTATTGAATAAATTAAACCTATTGTGTGGAACTATTTTCGAGTAAGACGGATTCTTTACAATATGTTCTGCTTCTTTAAATGTGATATTACGAACAGTAATTTCTTTTTTTATATTATATTGCTAATTATACAATATACATAAGACGACTTTTAGATATTATTCTATCGTTTTTATTTTGACAATATAGACAAAAATTTACACATGGTGTGTTCTCGTCGTCAGTGTTAGTACACCTTTGTTATTTTTTTGATTTAAATATACACAATTTGGCAGTACGACCATATATTAGACAAATATAACATTGAACCACTGCATGGATATATATGATTCTACCATAAATAAAGATAAATTTATTTTTATTTTATTTGGTGGTATTTTGCCTTCAAATGGTACAAAAATAATTTGTCTATCGACGAATATCATGCTGCCATGATTTTCATTAACTATTTTCTTCAAGCGTTTTACTTCTACGACCTTAGTGTTGTCACATTCGATACTTTTCAGTAAATACTTTTTGCTAAAGTATGTATCAACCTTTTTGATGAGACCTTTGTTATATTGTATGATTTAAACACTACTTTTAACCTACTTACATCTACCATTATGATATATCGGATATCATATTTAAATGAATCATCTTTTAATAAATTATAACCAATTTTGATAGAAAGAAGTTGACCTATGTTTTATTGATGTGTTCTATAAAAACGTAGTAAGGTCCAGAATCACTTTTAGAATATTTATTATTGAAATTATTTGTACTTAAATCTTTTAATAAATCATCAGAATTCGAATTGACTGAAATATCAGGTTTATTACCACCTAAATTGACAGACATTATTAGAATTTAACAACAACTACACCTAGGTAAAAAATTTAATTACAATAAGAAGTTTTAATGAGTTAAATCGCTTATCATTGTATTTGCAAATATATTAATCTGATAATGATAAATACTATAATTATAGCTAAAATTAATAAAAAAATAATGCTTTCCAACACCATAATTAGACCAATATTATTATATGCAGGGGAAACAATGACGATGGTTAAAAAAGATGAAGAAGACTTAAGAATTGCAGAGAGAAAGATTATGAGAACCATACTAGGACCAATCAGAACAGAGCAAAATGAATATAGAAGCAGAACAAATGCAGAAATTATGGAAGAACTTAAGGAAGACATCGTAACTAAAATAAAGCAATGCAGAGTTAGATGGTTAGGTCACATTTGGCGAGCAGGCGATGAGGCAGTGACATACGCAATGATAGAATGGAATCCAGGAGGAATAAAGAGAAGGGGAAGACCGAGATCAAAGTGGCTGCAAGAAGTTGAAGAAGACCTTCAAAGGGCAGGAGTCAGTGAATGGAGAGGAAAAACTAGAGACAGGAAAAAATGGAGAGACATTGTCAAGAAGATAAGATAAACAAAAAAAAGACTGATCCACTTAAGAAATAGGATCTAGAAAGCATTTGCGGTTTAACCCCACGCTGGGGTGTATAGCCATTATATATATATATATATATATATATATATATATATATATATATATATATATTATATATAATATATATATATATATATATATAATACTTTCCAATAAAATATCCGTAATCCACAGCACAATTATCTCAATATCTGTAGAAATTTTAAAATGTGGAGAAACTTTAAAATTTGTAACCACACTTTGAGAGTTATTTGACAATAAAGATATGATGTAGTAATTATAGAGGTATAAGCTTAACCAAGTCTATAGAAAGGCTGTATAGCAGAGTTTCAAAAGAAAAAATTTAAAAATATGTTCTAGATATCGAAGAGCAAAGCGGTTGTCCCATTGTAATATATTTGTATTCATTTACATACAGTGTGGAAACCACTTATGGAATAAAATTGTTTGTGTCCTTATTTTAGAAAATAATAAAAAACGTTGAGATACCTTAACTTTTAAATTTAAATGTACGCTTTTTAGACATAAATTTGAATGTACAGGGTGATCAATGCAAGTCTGGCATATTTTTATGTTTTTAAAAGCTCCTTAATAACCTGATTTCAACGAACTATATCATGTAGGGTCTATTATGAATAATACAAGGTGAAATTTTGAAATTAGGTCTTTTCTTCAAGACAATGAATTCATAGAATATCCGAGGTAATTGATTGGATTACATTAAAATAAATGCACAATATGTTCTCCACCTTGTTGTTGGCAATAACACAGTCTCCTATAAAACTCGTTCCGAACTATGTTTAAAGTTTGAGGTGAAATATTCCGTATTTCTGTAGTTATCCTTACTTTTTGAGGTCTTGAATGATAGTTGATTGTGTTGCATAATATATTTTGTTCTTGAGATAACCCCACAAAAAATCCAAATTCGTAATATCTGGCGACCTAGCGGGCCGCTCACTAGTCCTCTTCATCAAATACACTTATTGAAGAAGATTTCATTTAAGTAATTTCTCACCATTAAAGCATAATGGGGTGTTGCACCGTCCTGCTGGAACCAGACAGTTTCATGCGATAGGGTCGAATCTATTGGATTGGGATAGAAGTTAGCCAACTAAGGAAGAACATCGTCTCTTAGCATGCTTAAATATTTTTCCGCTGTCAAATTATCATCTATAAATATAGGACCAATAATATGATCTCCTATAATATCTGCCCAAACATTCAACTTTTGAGGATACTGAGTGTGTGTCTCACGCATCCAATGAGGATTCTCCGCTGACCAATATCTACAGTTTTATCAGTTTACCTCTCCGTTCAATCTAAATTTTGATTCATCAGAAAAAAGATTTGTGCCAAGAGCTATTTCATTTGTTAATTTTTTCCATCATTCTTTTGCAGAAATCCATTCTACGATTCGGATCGTCTTCTGTTAGCTCCTGCACAAATGTCAATTTATATGGATGAAGTTTTCTTCATGGAGACACCTTAGGACAGTTGTGTGACTCACATTATTTTGACGTTCAATTTGACGTGAACTTGACGTTGGATTCTCTGCGAGACTTTACAAAATATCTGCTTTCACTTCATCTTCAATGAAGTTCGATTTTCTTTTTAATGGTTTGGCATATCTCTGAATTGTACATAAATTTTAGACACAGTACCTTGTGAAATATTAGGCAACTGAGTATACTTCTGATTAAATAAGTTTACTACTTCAACTTGACTTCTACAATTCTACCCGTAACCGATCATCATTAAAATCTCAATTTGGTGGGCCTTGGTTAAATATTTCATTTGTATTTCTGCAAGAAATTAGTTTTTAATTAAGAATTTATTACTTTAATGTAAAATGTCAACAGCATATCAACTGATTGATAACAATCCGCATTATTTACCGATTTAGTTTAATTAGCAGACTATCTGTACAGTTTTTACTTATTCACGACAAAAAATGTTAACACGGTTACGAAACAGAATTTTTCCCCAAGATACAGTGTACTGACACTTAGAGTAGCTTAGTCTGTATTTAGGTAATTTAAAATAATACCATAACACGTGATAAATTATTAATTTCAAAATTTCACCTTGTACTATTCATTATAGACCCTACATGATTAGTTTATTGAAATCAGGTTGTTAAAAGTATTTTAAAAACATAAAAATATACAGGGTGTTTCATTAAAAATAAGGATTATGGACTAGGCCAGACGTGCGTGGATCACCCTGTACATTTAAACTTATGTTTAAAAAGTCACCCTGTACATTTAAATTTAAAAGTTAACGTGTCCCAGAGTTTTTGATTATTTTCTATAATAAGGACACAAACAATTTTATTCCATAAGTGGTTTCCACACTGTATAAATAAACATCTTAATTATCAATACCTTAAACTCAGATCATTAATTACATTTTTCTTTTTCAGTAAATGAAGTTGTACCACAAACCGTTAAAACCACCTACGTCTGTCCTACAGGCTTCCGATCGATAGGAAGAAAGTGCTATTACTTCGGAAAGCAACCAGTGATATGGACGGATTCTCATTTCTACTGTGGGTTACTCAATAGCACACTTGTGATATTCCGTTCCTATAGAGAACAGAACTTGTTAAAGGGATTCGTCACACAAGATAACCACACTACTTTAGGTATGTTTACTTTATACATTGATATGCGTATTAGATAACATTTAATAAATATTGTGTTTCGTACTGCCTTATTTTCTCTTCCTATCGAAAAAGGATTAGCAGTTGTCTGTTAAAAAGAATGGCAGATATAGTTGAAAATCAAAATTGTTTTTTGTTTGATCCGTATTTCGACTTTGTCGTGTCTCTTCAATATTGTCTTTTTTGCAATGAGTTGATGGATTTAGAGTCCTAAAACCATCGAGAAGACGTGGACATACAGGTTACATAGGTAACCACTTCATCACCACCTTATTCTCGAGTAGGCATATTTTTATTGATGTAGTGCAGCGCAGCGATGCCCAAACAGTCCATCGCGATCGATTGGTCGATCGTGACAGCTTCTGGAGACGATTGCAAAAGAATTTAGAATTATTTAGGTCATTATTGAAATATTCCAGGGTTCTGAGACAATGTGCCAGCGCGACATTTGGCAAATGTTACCGATTGTCCTCGAGTAACAGTTTCTTGTATAACAAGCTGTGGTGAGGGAGGATTATGTAAGTAATAAATTACAATAATTTAAGTAAAATAGCAATATTTAAAACACGAAATAAGTACGGACAAGTATCTCACATCAGGTTTACGGTTGGCAAATTATTACTTTACAACTATAAGTATTAGTAGATGCTTGATTAGATGCTTTAATTATATTTTGTATTTATAAGCATATTCAGAAATCTACGTATTTTGGTATCTACTCTTCAGTCTAGTTGTAGAAGTCGGTAGTGGTATCGCTTTTATTTAAAATATTTTGTGATAAAACGAAGACACGACAAGTCTGAGCACCCCTGATGTAGCTAATGTCTAAAGTTTCTATTTCAAATTCAAAATTATCTATTTTAAACAATTTGGACATTTGGATAAAAATTGCTATGAATTTTTAATCCTTGATTGAATTTCCTGGGAATGTCCTGGAAATGTTAATTTAATACTGTACCCAGATATGTTGATTTACGTTGACACTCGTTTTACCATTTTCTCATTGATCGTAAATTGTACTCCTCCAATTTTTGCTTTGCTTTTGCTTTTGTTTTTGTTTAGTTATTTTTAGGTCACATATTAGTTTCAGCTATATTGTTCATTAAAAGTTGCAATCCTTGAGCAGTGTCCGCAAAAATGACGGTGTCATCGGCATATCTGAAATTATTTACTTGTTCGCCATTTAAAAGTAAATCTGCTTACTTGTATTCTATGGTTTCTTAGAAAATTGCCTCTGTTGTACATGTTGAATATGAGAAGTGATAATATGACACATCTGTCGAATACTTCGCAAAATTTTCACTTCTTCTGTTTCCTGTTGTTGACTTTAACTGAAACTTAATTATTATTGATATTGACATTCACTCTAGATTTTTAGGTACATCGTGCCAAAATTATTGCACAGTATGTTAAATAAAAGTTACTAAACCTTTTTAAAAATTAATAATGCACATCAATGCTTCAGCACTTACTTTTAAGACTTAAAATTAAAAAAAATAATTTAACAAAAAGTTTAAGTGAATAAAAGGCTCAGTAATTATACTATTTTAGATAGTTCAGACAGATGGATAGACGGAATATACGACTGGAAAACACAACATTGGAAGTGGGGAGCGAATGCTAAACCCATTAGAGATAATCCATTTACGAAACGAAATACAGGTGAAAAATTTAGATGGAACTGTCTTGCACTTAGCGGTACTCTCAATAATAGGTAAGCTAGCAAACTATTTTAATAAGTAGTTTATTTTTTATGTTCACACAGTTTCACGAAGAAAGACAAATAATTGGTTGGTACTTGACTGGATATTGTGTGTTATTTTGATTCTTCGGAATTATCTTAGTGGTTCCCTGAGTAAACAATGATGGTATTTCCTGCGGATTAGAAATAACAGTAATAATAAATATTGATACAAGCTCATAAAAACTTCTTTAAAAATTGAAGAAGTTTTAAACTCCGTCTCAAAATGTTCAAAACTTCTTCAGTGGTGAGGAATTTGAAAGAAATGTTACTGTAGGATTGGTAGTTGTTCTTTGTGTTTTTAACATATTCAGCATTGGTGTTAAAAGTTAATTCATAAATTTATTCTTGGTTTGGTAAGACCTTTTTTTTCGTTTTCTGCAGTGGAAGTCAAATTCCTATAAACAAAACACCTTCTCTGCATGTTCAAAAAGTACATTTTCTCATTTCTGGATGTTACTACGCTGTTTCTCCTTAGATAACCTGCAAAGCTGCAAATTAAGCTGTATTGTTGTCTATATTATGTTGTGAGTGTCTTGGAAATGTTAGCAGTATTTCATCAGCTATTTTAATTAATTTTCGACTTCTTAGGGTACAATTTTTTTCCAGGGTGCAATTATGTTTTTAGTCCTTTTAATATTAGTACCCAGAGCACAGCATATGCAAATATTTTATTGTATGCGCTTATACGATATAATTGAGTAGGACTTCAGTGTTCACCATTTGTAACAGCGCACCTAGTTTCTTAGAAGAGTTTATTTTTCTAGTGGTAGTCTGCTAAGTGGGATTGTTCCATTAAATACGTCCTGTTGTTTATTAACAGGTTGACTTTTTTATATCATCAGCACAGAAATATGCTCTTTAGATATTTCATTAGGTACTTGATCTACAACTATCACTTGCTTATGAACCTTCCTTTCGATTTCGCTTCTTTTTATTTAGAATCTTTAATTATAAGATTTTTCTTAAGTTGCCTTCTCCATTACTGAAAGTCGGCTATAACTACAGCAAATTGCTATCTATCTTGAGCTGTTTTTAGTATCGAATGTGTGTCCATTGCTGTCCAGTCTCTTACGTTCTGTAACCAGGAGCATTTTCTTCTTCCTGGATCTCTTCTTCCTTCCACTTTCCCTTTCATTATAAGTCGTAGGAAGTTGTATTTTTCTCCTCTGTAAATATGTGCTAGATAACTCGTTTTTCTGTTTTTTACAATATTTAGGAGTTCTCTGTTAGTACCCATTCTTCTTAGCACCTCGTTGTTGGTCACGTACTCTGTTTCACGTTTTGTTGCACGTTTTCACTCCAAAAGATTATTTCTTATAATTACCTGGTATTGATCTGCTTTGCACTGTTTAGGTACTTGGATCTCTGGGTACTTCCTGCAAAATTATGCATTCAGATGTCGATATCCGATCGTTTTACACGAACTGTCTCGGTCATCTTGCTTGCTGATGTTCTGCGCAGCACCTTCAGCGCGTGCTGCTTTTGTTGTTGCTTGGCTCACTTGTGCTTGTTGTTGTTTTTGGACTGTCGCTGATTGCTAACAGGTGTCAGTTTCTGTTTCCATTACCTAAATGATAGTGCATATATTCGCTCAGAGAATTTACTAAAAGCATTTTTTGGCAGAGATCCCTACTACTCTATGGGTATCAGCGCTAAAAACACCCAAACATAATCCCCTATTCGCAGGTGCCGTGCCTAAAAAAAAACTGATATAAACTTCCACAGGTTTACTACTATTCTTATTACTGTTACTACCATTATTGAGAAATTATAACATGGATACTTTTAACTCGAAACGTTCTTTCAAGACGACTTATACTTTGTACTAAGAGTGTACCACTTTTTATTTTGGTATTACATATTCTTCTTGTATTTCGAGATCTTTTTAATTTATTATCTTTTATTCAATAGGGAGTACCTTTTTCCTTTATGTATTTCCGCCTTTTATTGTAATTATAATTATACGTAAATATGTGCAGGATTGTCTTACTTATTATTATTATTACTTATTGTCTATCAATACTGATAAATTTGGTCTTTTCCATTTATATATTTAGAACAATTTTGTATAATTTCCCATCATGTAGTTAAATTCTTAAGTTAATTCTCAAACGAAGAAGTGTTAAAACGAATTGGGCATGGTAGACAACCATGTAATGACAAGTAATCTTAAGCATGTAGCTTAAGAACATAATTAAAATAGGAAAAACATCGCATCTAGGCCACATACTTCAAAACAATAAATACTCTCTTCTATATGTCACCCTGCTAGGAAGAGTGGAGGGAAGAAAAGGTTTTGGAAGAAACAAAGAAATCTTGGCTAAGGACTATCACAGATTGGACTAACGTCTGTGTTAAACAGATATTTCACATAACAAAATATAGGGAAGCGTTTAAAGAAGTGATTGTTAACCCTCGTCAGAAGACGGCACAATAAGTGCTTTACAAGTATAAGTATTTCAGTAGCTGGTAATTTTCTGCTATTTAATTTTTCAGTATAACCTACTGATCATACTTATAACAGCAGTTTCTAATAGGTGGGTTTTTGATAAACAGAGTGATGAAAACCTTGGGATTGGTTTTTCCTTATGGTAACTTCGAGAAACAGTAGAGATGAATCAGTGTCCACTTCCATCGTGAACTGAATACTAGGATGTAAACCATTTAGTTGGGTTTGAAAAGACACGAAAGCGTTCCTTCCTGGAGCCAAATGACGAATATATCGTCAATATATCGTAGCCAACATGTGGGTTTGAGCAATGATGTCGATAGTGCTCGGGTCTCGAAGTCTTTTATAAAGATATTGATAATGATTGGAGATAGTGGGGAGCCCATTGAACCACCATTTATTTGTCCATAGAATTGATTTTGGAAGATTAAATAATTGTTGGACATACAATGTTTAATAAGAGATAAGTGGTCGTGTTGGATACTGTATTTAGTTTTTAGAATGTTTTTAACTTTGTCTATAGGAATGTTTGTAAAGAGTGAAAAGATATCGAATCTTACTAGAATGTCCGACGGTGAGATTATTGTTTAAGAAGTTCGATGAAATGAGAAGAATTTTTGACGAAGAATGAAGCACTTTCGACGAGAGGTTATAGAGTTTTGGCGAGGTACTTGTCCAATGGTTGTGTAGGACAGTTGTATGCACTGAAAATGGAACATAAAAGAATATCGGGTTTGTGAATTTTGAGTAGACCGTATATTCGAAATGTTCTGAAAAACTCTGGTATACATCCTAGTATCCATTTCAGAATGGGGTGGAAACTGATTCATCCTACCGTTTTTCAACGTTACCATTAATAAAAATCAATCCCAAGGTATTTATTACTTTGTTTATCGAAAACTCACCCATGCCAATCGTTACTTGCATGCTAACTCTCATTATCTCTCTTCACAAGTTATTTCAGTCATTGATACGCTTGTTTTAAGATCAATACGCCTTTGCGATAATGCAAGTATTGAATTTTCGCCAGATATGACAAAAATTCCACCAAGCGATTTCCGGTATAAGCAATCCTTCGTTTATTGGCCAACAGCTTCGGGTGGGCGAGCTAGTAAATGGTAGGGCACCCCTTTGTCCTGGAGTTAAGAAACTGGCTTCAAAGGCGGAAGAACCGTGGAAGCGGTCAACGGCATAGAGATGAGGAAGAAAAATTGGGACGAGACACCTCATTAAAGATCCGGATTGGATAGGTCCTAGTAAAATCAAATGGCTATGCTTGCAGCGAAATTCAATTCCGGAGTAAGCTCCTCGATCGGATCTCCCTGAGGAGCAGTTATAAGTATAACAAAAAGATTAAAATCCAAAGAACAGCTCAGAATAGGCACCTGGCACGTGAAAACCATTGAATAGGAAGGTAATATCCATAATGCAATACAAGAAATGGCACACATGAAATTAAATATTCTTTCGAGAATAAGCGAAATGCGTTGGCCAGATTCAGAAACCGCAAGTATCGGGGAACACCGCGTTTACTATTCTGAAACAGATAACGGCAAACATAAATTGGTGTCGGCAATATATTGACAAAAGAAGTGGCAAAATCTGTTGACAACTTCATCCCCATCTCAGTAAGAGTGATGCTCATACAACTAAAAGCAAGACTAATCGACATCAATATAATTCAAATGTATGCACCTACAACAGAAGGAACAGAAGAAGAGATAGAAGAACTACACCATAGCATTAATCAAGTCGTGAACAGATTAAAAAAGCAATACCTAACAATTGTCATGGGTGACTTCAACGCCAAAGTTGGGGCCAGCAAAACAATATCTGCAGTTGGACCATTTGGTCTAGGAAACCAAAACGGTCGGGGAGATACGTTGGAGATTTTTGCAGAAGCAAATCAATTAGTAATATTGAGCACTAGGATTCTGTGGGAAGGATTGTAAGAAATCAGATTGATTACATGCTAGTAAATAAGAGGTATAGGAACAGCTGTACATCTGTCAAAATATACCCGGGGGTAGACATAAATTTTGATTATGTACCAGTTTTAGGTAATAAAAGTCGGAATGAAAAAGGTAACAAGTAAGTCGATGAAGAAGTATAATGTTATAAAACTGAAAGATCCCAATGTTCTACTGAAGGTTAGTGAAAACCTCAATACAAAGTTGCTAAAATGCAAAAATGCAGGTACTATAGAAAAAAGTCTGGCCATCATACAAGAAACAGTGAGAGAAATAAAAGAACAACACCTGAAGAAAGAAACAGAGAGACGGAAATCGTGAATGACCGATGAAATACTTGATCTTATGGATCAGAGAGAAAAAACAAAGAATATCTCCAAGAATATAAGAGAATACATATCGTCGCCAAAAAGAAAAATAAGAAAAGTCAAAGAGAAACAAAAAACAAAACAATGTCAAGAAATCGAGGAGTATCAGAGTCGATGTGATAACTTCGATGTTTATAGAAAGGTGAATGAAATAGCTAAAAAGTTCAGAAAACACAACAGTGG